CCCATCCTTCCCCCAACACAGCTCCGTCCCCCACATATCCCCATCCTTTCCCCAATGCAGCCCTGCCCCACCCCGTGTTCCCACCCATATACCCATCCTTTTCCCCATCACAGCCCTGTCCCTACCCTTCTATCCCCACCCACATACCCATCCTCTGCCCCAACACAGCCTGTTGCCCATCCCTCCACCCAAACATAGAACCCCCACCCCGGACCCACCTCATCCTTTCCCCAATGCAGCCCTGCCCCACCCCGTGTTCCCACCCATATACCCATCCTTTTCCCCATCACAGCCCTGTCCCTACCCTTCTATCCCCACCCACATACCCATCCTCTGCCCCAACACAGCCTGTTGCCCATCCCTCCACCCAAACATAGAACCCCCACCCCGGACCCACCTACACAGTGCTTTGTCCCAGCATCCCTGTCCCCGCCTCTCCACCACTACACAGCGTGTCCCCACTCATACACCCACCCTTTGCTCCTACATTATCCTGTGACCATCCACCCCTCTGTGACCAAACACAGTCCCATCTCCACTCCTTCACTCCAACACAGCCCTGTGACCCCACCCATGCCTTTCACCCCAACATAACCTCACCCCACATCACCAACCCAACAACCCTCCCCCACCCATACAACCACCTCTTTGCACCCATACTTATCCTGGTGCCTCCACATGCCTTCATCCCAAACACAGCCCTGTGCCCACCATACACAACGTTCTTTGCCCCATCACAGTCTTCTGCCCCTTTACACCTACACCCTACCTAGCTCAAACATGCCCACCATATGCAGAGAAATCCCACGTCTATCAACAAGCCCTGTTATTCCCCAAACATGGATTCATTTTCCCCAACACAGACCTATGTCCCCTACACTTTTACCCCAATATAGTCATTTGCCCACCATACACACCGGTTCTCTTTGCCTTCCAATGAAGCCCTGTACCCTACCTGTACCCTCATGCTCATAAAAGCCCTTTGGCTCCAACTCAGCCTTGTGCCCCCACACTCATCCTAACACAGCCCTGTGCCCCTTCCTCACAGACTTGCCTTGCCCCCAACACAGCTCTGTACTCCTTATCCCGACACGTTTGCCCCTCAAATATAGACCCTTTCATCTCTCAACGGTGCAGTGTCCCCCCCTTAGGCATCCTCACCCCCAACACAGCCCCATACCCTCCTCTGTCATCTCAAGAAAGCTCCATGTCTCTTATACACAAACATCAACCCCCTGTGCCACCTGCTCCCTGTACGGCCCTGTATGACACCACCCAAAAATCGTCTCTGCAGTAGGATGCACACACCTCCCCCCGTGCTGCCTCTACGCACCCAGGAAAATCGCTTCTCAACGCAGATGCTAAAACTAGGGGTGCTGCCGCACCACTTTATTTGAAGTGGTGTCCATCATATACAGGGTTTACAGTTAGGTTCAATGGTTCTCAGTGCTCCCACTATACAAACTGTTCCAGTGCCCTTGTTTCCCAACATGTTTTATCCTTGACCCTCTACAATCCTTTCGCCCCTTCTCACGGCCCTGCATTTGTACATCTTCCCAATCCCAAATCACACACACAAATCCTGCATGTCTTCCTCAGACCCACTCTTGTCTTCCTGTCCCCCAACACATAACCCACATACTCAACTACCCACTAAAATCAATCACATGTACAGTCCTCCCACACACGTCTGTTAACCCCCCCCCCTTCAAGATATAATCCACTCAGTAGTCCTCATCCTTTCTCCTCAGGATGTTTATTACCTCCTCATATACATCCCACAATATCCCCTCCCCCCTGCTGCCCTTATATCCCTCCCGAAGAGGATAAATTGCTGTTTAATGCCTCACCCAACTCCACTTCACTGCATGTTCCTTAAGGCATAATATATACTTACACTTGATATAGGGCCTCCTCCTACTTCATATATCTTTCTCTCCAAAGGAGTCTTTTATCCTCTTCATTCCCCATCTTGCCAAGTACCCCTGGCCCACCTCACCTTATCCACAATCTGGACCACTGAAGGCAGGTGCCTGCCCCCTACAGTTGCCATGTGACACAGAGAAACAGAAGACCTGCGTCAATTAAATTGTGATTGTGTTTACCGTGCTCCGAACATGTGAAAAGACACATTACTGCTAAGTATACTTATTGCCAGATCAACTGCCTGTGTCCTAAACCTAGAACTTGCAAATCACATTCCACCACACACACACCTCCATCCCCTTCAGACACAGGGTCCACATTATGCTTACGCCACACCACTTCGAAAGATAACCTTTCCCACACCCCTTCCTCAAAACCAAAGCTACACAGGCGCAGAGCTCTCCCCTAAAACTAACCCAGCAGGTCTACGCCCATGAGAGAATAACTCAAGTGTGTGAAAGGGATGCTGTTCTCGCTGCTTTCCAAATCAACACAAACAGCAACCCCCCCCTCCGCAACCATAGAGCCTTACTCCACTTCGCAGCTCTCATTTCCCTCCTTTTTGTAATGCCACCCCTTCTCAGACACAGCTACCCAGCAGTTATTTACCAAAGCCCCACGATCCTCCATCACTGTAGAACTGTCCCTGGCAATAACCACATGCCAACCCTCAGCACCTGCCACATACCCAGCTAGCCACACTTACCCAGGGCCATTGCGCACAAGCACAGGGAGCTCCAGCACCGACCAATAACCAGATGTTCAGCTCTATAATAATCTAGTCCTTGTAACCTTTGCTAAGGGGGGAAACATGCCCCCCCCCCATTAAAGCCACCACCCACTCAGCTCTGTTTTGGGGAGGCTCTGAGCCCTCTGGGTGCCTGAGAATAACAAGACTGGGTAAGGTGGGGCACTCTAAGGGGATCAATTTCTGCTCTACCTTCCTCTGCTTAATGCTTTCCTGGAGGGGCAAGCAAGAGGGGATTGTTAAAGCTGCGCAGGGGAAAGGCATCTTCCCTAGATGCTGGTGGCGAAGGTGTGTGCGTGGGTGGGGGGTTGTGTTGTTATGGATTTGGGATGTGACGTTCTGGAGATAAAAAGGCGCTCCGCCCTTCCCCCCCCCCCATTCCACCCTTGTCGCTAGCTGCAGGGGGGGGGTGTTATGGTTTGCAGTCCTGCTTATTTTTTGTTTTGGCTGGCGGCAAAGGAGGTGGGGAGGGGAGAGCGGGGGGCGGCTTGTGAGCGCTGTGGGTGTTATGTGCGCACTGGTGAGGTGGGATCCCAGGATGGAAATAGCCTCCCCCGCCCCCCTCCTTCCCTCCGCTTCTGTTTACCTCAAGTTCGAATTTTATCTGCGCAACATTAGCTGGAATGCGGACACGGAGAGGGAAAAACACACGCACCAGCCAGCCGTTCCGGAGAAGCCATGTGGCACGCAGCCACACACACACACGCACACACACAGACACACAAACCTCTTAGCAACACAAACATGGCGCAATAGCCCCTTTAAAAAAAAAATTCCTATTTAAAGCAGGCGATTCCACCTCCCTCCCTCGTTACCAAAAAACGCCTGGCCCCGTTCCTCCAGACCCTGGACCAGGGCAAAGAAACACAGAGAAAAGAAGGGAGAAGGGAGACTGTAACAAGCGAAACAATCTCAAACTCACATTAAAACTATGCCACCGGGGCACTGACACCAGTCCCCGGCATTTAAACATGCGGAGGCACCACCTCCCCCTCCCCAATATACAGCGCTCCTCCTAAAACAAATCTCTCTTGAAGAGCTTTTAAAGACTATAAATAACTTACCTTAAGACGATCCATGTGCTTGCAAAAGCTTCTTGTCTTCCCTGCACTCTCCCCCCCCCCCCCCCCGAAAAACAAAAAATGTTTAGTTTCCAGATCTATTCCTTCATATCATTTCCTCTTTCTCAGGATGGTGGGGACTCTGGAGACAGGTGCAATCCCATCCGTGCTGATTCAAAGTTGTTCTTCCTCCTGGCCCGAGGGGGGTGAGAGGGGAACAAAAAGACCCCCTCCTCTCTTCTCACGCCCCCTCGCTCTAGTGGATGGAGGTGGGATCCTGGAGACTGTAGGGTGCCCCCTAGTTTCCTCCTCGTCTCTGCCCCCTTCCCAGTCACTGTTTATGTAGCCCTGGGCTCCTCTAATGCTTTCCTCGATACAATGTTGTTTCATTATATCATGTCCATCATGTGACACTGAGAGGCCTCTCTATGGAAACTTAAAGGGGACTCTCACGTGACTCTGCAGCAGCAGCAACTGCGAAGCAAGCCCAGCAGTAGCAGCAGCCTAGCACCATCGCCTCCCGTCCACACCAGACCCCCGTCACACCAGTCCAGAGGGGGGCTTGCTGTGTAGCCGCGAGAGGGGTAGCGGCTGCAGTATACACAGCCCTGAATACGCCCAGCCTGCCTCTCCACGGGAGGAAGAACAGCAGCTCTTCCTAGTGAGAAAAGCCACCCACTGTAAAATGATTTCTTGGTGTTGCCTAATTTATTCCTAAGGAGTGACGACTTCTTCATATTGGCTGGGCTGCGCTGACAAGTGGAAGCAAGTGCTGGGCTTTTTGGTGGTGGTGTTCTCATGACACAGCCTGGGCTATGTAAATAATAATTAATAACCGAACAGGCTCTGTTCTTTCTGTTTGCCACATCAGCCCCAGCACCGAAAAGTCCAAAACCAGAGTGCAGCCTGCTGGCTTTGTGTATGACGCATCAGCCAGAACACAATGCAGCTTTGCTCTTTTGCAGCTATACTGGGTCTTTGGTGCTGACAGTAGCAAAAACTTGTTTATATCAGTAAAACTAAACAGATGTGACACGGAGATATAAGCTATGCCACTGTATTTTTAAAGAGTTACTTTTCTGGCTGTTAAACATGATTTTAAAGCGACAGACATGATCAGATGATGAAAATCTGTGTGCCACTGAATTCTGTAATTAACTCTGTAAAATAATTTGTGGATCATTTGTGTAAAAAATCCCCTATAAAATGCAAAGTATAGTTATGTACTTTCGCTGTTACCTATACTGCTGCATTTTAGAACACACGTAATATAGATATATATTATTTATTTCTTGGTCATAATATTTTAGAGAGAGAGAGAGAGGAGATTTGCAATTCAGTTAAATTATCTGTGTTGTATCCATTTCATATGTTATTATTTAGCTGCAAATCCTCTCTCTAGCCTAGCCTGTGTACATTGGGGATCTAAAGGGCTGGAGAGAAGGAATTCTGCATACAGGCCACAAGGTTTGCAGCAAAGCAACTCTGAGGCTGCTGTTCTGACCTCAGTGCTGAAGTTGTCTCTTCTCTGCTTGTGCCCCAATGGGCATAATAGCCAGTGGATCTAAATGCCAAAGTAGATTCATAGTTCCTGTTTTCCAATCCTTTCCCATGGTGATGCACAAAAAGTCTCTGTGGAAGTGGGCTGTGCAGCATACCCCTGCATGGCTCCCCCAAATTCTGCTCTCAACACAATGGAACCATGTTGTTATTTAGGTGATGTAATAAACAAGGTCAAAGATTTGGACCAGTTTAGAGTCTCTTTCTTTGCGACTAGAAGATTAAGTGAACAAAAACATGCATCATTTACCTTTTTTTTTTTTGTTGCTTGCATTTAAAACTTATTTTCATTCACTTACCATTTTTTAGTATGGACTGTCTTTGAGAGCCTTTGGTTTTCTTTATTAACTCCTCCAATATTTCACAGAATAATTTGTGTTGAAAGAAGTCAGACAGTTCATGAATTGATGCACATATACACCCAATGGTCACTATTGGTTAAAATTAGAACCACCAAATGGGGTGTCACAGGCCCGATAATGGTAACTGATGGAGATTCTCCATTACGTCATTTGTTGAGTGCCCACACTTTTGGATTAAAAATATCTAAGTTCAGTCCCTGCAACTGATATGCAATTCTAAGTGGTGATAATGGTGTTCAGCGTTTCCATGCATTTGTTAGAATATATTCTTGGCATGAGATGTTTATATTCATTTATTACAGAAAGCAGGCAGCTGACTTGCAGACTGTGTCATAAAGTAAAAGTTTACATTGAACAGTGTAAGGAGGAGCAATCTCACCTGTCTCTCTTCTCCCCGACATCAGTGGCTCTCAGCCTTTCCAGACTGTTGTACCCCTTTCAGGAGTCTGATTTATTTTGTGTACCCCCAAATTTCATCTCACTTATACTACATGTTTACAAAATCACACATAAAAATACAAAAGTGTTGTAAAAAAGGCAAATATCTAGATGAGTTGATGTGCCCCCTGGAAAACCTTGGTGTATCCCCCAGCACCACCACGAGTATGTGTTCCCTGGGTTGAGAACTACTGCTCTAGATATCTCATACTCTTCCCTCTTGCTCTCTCACTAATCTTTGCCTTCCACTCCAATTTTCTCAGTCTGTTTTGCTCCCTTTCTCCTTCTCTTTTTTGTCCATATTAAATTTTAACCTTGTCAGATCCCAGCTCCATCAAGTTCTCATTCTCCTATTTTGCCCACCCCATTTATCTCTCTTCTAGTCCATGTTACTGCCCTTTTCCTTTTTACAGGAGAGCTTGTTTGAGTTATGGGTTGGGGGAAAAAGTATTGTTCTAGGATCACTGCCAGAGCCAATCTCTTTTTAGACAGCTACTGCTGCTATTCTGCTGTGTCATGGAAAGACAGAGGTACCCTGGTCACAAAAACTAAGGGAGATTTGGAGGCTTGTGAAAGAACCATTGGCCAAGCAGAATCTCTTGCAGCAGGTCTGAACTCTCTGCTTTATGGAATTAGGGATATGCATGCATCCAGTGACCCGATGTTGGGTTTGGAGTAGAAAGAGAAGGCACTATTCCCATTCCATGCACCACCCATAAGATCTGTGGATGAGGTTGGGAGCTTTTCAAGCAGCAGGGTAGAAGCAGAAGGAGTAAATGATTCATGGCCCAAGAGATGCATCATTACAGCTTTATGTCATTTTTATAAACCAAGGCGCTTACAATTATAGCTGAGCAGTAAATGGGAACAATACTTTCCTGTTAAAAGGCTATTTTTATTGTTTTTGCAATGCTTGTTTTGAATTCTTGCAGTTAGCATTTGGACCTAGGAGAGATTCTTTTTCCCCACAAAAAAAAATGTTGCTTGTTATACAATCTTTCAGATCTTGGCTCCTTAGTACTAAATGCATTTTCTTAAGCTTTTGAAAAATATGAGGTTCAAAGATGTCTCTTATCTCCTCCCTTCCAAGTTTCCATATGTTACCTGGAAACACATCATACATCATATCGAGACAACTTGAATGAGAAAGGTTTAAATAAACACACACAAACACACACACAGAGCAAAATCCTTCATTGTATGACTGAGGGATTCTTACAGCTGCCTTAAAATTACACCCAAACAAAGGGAGTCTCCCTATAAGTGAATGAGTCATGGCAGATATCTGCAGGGCAGTACTGTTTAGTGACGTGACTTAAAAATAACCCTGGAAAATTTAATCTTTCTATCGCTGCTGGATACGTTTACATATTCTTGTGCCGAAGCTTCCTAGGGAACATTCAGACAATGCAAGGAATTATTAGGACATTAATGGTTCTATCAGCTGCTCCATACAAATTACTTTATATGGTCCCAGTTCTTCCATTAGAGCCACGTAGACAGATCCTTGCATCTGTGCGGAGCCCTATTTAGGTTAGTATGGCACAACCAAGCATGGGCTTCCATTTGGAACCAATGGCAGGATTAGGGCCAATATTATTCCACAAGAAAGTAGTCAAAGGAATTTTTGCCAAAATAAAAGTGTTGTGTCTACACTAGCACTTTTGTTGACATAACTTATATCACTCAAGGGTGTGAAAAACACATCCCCAAGTTCCACCAACAAAAGCACAGGTGTGGACAGTGCTCTGTTGGTGGCAGACACTCTCCTGCCAACAAAACTACTATCTCTTATTGGGAATTAATTAATAATGTTGATGGGCAAGTTCTCTCCCATTGGTATATGGCAAAAAGATGGAAGACCTTATGACAGAGCAACTGCATCAATATAGCTGCAGCACGGTAAATTTGTTAGTGTAGACATAGCTTAATAATATCCTAGATTTTTAAACTGTAAGAACTGTATAAAACGTTCACTTGATTGATTCTTGTTTGTGCTTTGTTTATCCTGGACAATGAAACTAAACCTGTGGGTCTCACTTCTCTTTCTTGTCTGCTGTGCTATCTGGTTCCCATGAATGAGTGCAGTGCAGTTACATTTAAGTTCACAGTACTAAATGAGAAAATGTAATATTTAAAAAAACTGTGTTGAGTAATATTTTTTTGAATTCATTAAAATATGACTATTTGCCTCAGGCCTTGGATGCACAATTTGTTGGCGGGGCCCCACAACACAACCAAGTTATGAACTTGACATAAGTAGCCCACAAGGAATCCAAAGTGCTCTCATTTCTAAAGAGTGGATTCAGTCAGAATAAACTAAAATAAATCTTTGTTTATATGTAGAACGCAGTACTTGTTACTCAGGTTTCTAAGATGATGCAACAAAAATACTGAAGAAATCTGGCACAAACAAAACATGAAAATGTAACTCAGAAGTTATTCATTGACTGATAAGGCAAAATAATCCTTTTCACTATTTCTCAGAGAATTTTGGTTCTCTGTCTTTCATTGAACTGCCCACCCCTGATCCTTCAAACCTCACTGGGACCATTCATCTGCCTAAAGATATTCACATGTGTAAATATTAGCAGGATTAGGGTCCAATTCTGTAGTGAGGGTAATTTCCCCCTCGGACACAAATTCCTGAACTGACCAGCAACTTATACAGTTAAGAAATCACCTGTTAGAAGGATGTT